GTAATTCATCTCAACTTTCATTTGGTGCATTCGTTTAATGGTCATTTGTAGCTGCAGAGTATGATTTATTGTAATTGTTTGTTGAATTCATGGTTGTGTAAAATTCTGGTAGACTGTACATTGGAGTGGGTGTTTATGTGACTGCATACCGTGTTAAAGTGGTTTTCATGTAAATTGAGGTGTGGTATAAAACCATGTGGACCAATGTGATAGCCTTGATTTATTAATCTCTTGTCATGGTTGCTATCGGGATTGCAAATGGGATGATGTGGATAAAATACGACTAATGAAATTGTTGAATTCTTGCTGAGGAAAATACACGAGCAGGAGGATTGGCTATGTACGTACACTGCATGGTTGCAGTGAGGAGTGGACAGCGGGAAGTGAACGACAACACAGGTCGTCATGCACAAACATGAAAGGGAGATCGAAAAATATGCTTGATGTATTTTATTTTGTTCGATATAACTATGCATTTGATGAGGCTAATGAGAATGATCGATTTCTATTCTATCTCGTGGTGTTTGGTGTGTTTTCTTGTCAACTTCAGCGGCAGGTTGAAGTGTTCGATCAATTCGAAAGGGAAAAATCCACCATGACTAAGGCTTCCGGGCTGGGTGGTCGCATGTATCGACCACTCCTTCGAGGGTGGGCATGTGTTCGAAGACAAAACATCCACCATGACTAAGGCCTCCGGGCTGGGTGGTCGCATGTATCGACCACTCCTTCGAGGGTGGGCATGTGTTCGAAGACAAACATCCACCATGACTAAGGCCTCCGAGCTGGGTGGTCGCATGTATCGACCACTCCTTCGAGGGTGTACATGTGTTCGAAGACAAAAAATCCACCATAACTAAGGCCTCCGGGCTGGGTGGTCGCATGTATAGACCACTCCTTCCAGGGTGGGCATGTGTTCGACGACAAAAAATCCACCATGACTAAGGCCTCCGGGCTGGGTGGTCGACTCTAATGTTGGGTCGTTGAAGATATGGAGCTTATTGGAGACCTCAGAAGCAGGTCGAGGATCTTTACATGGTTTTGATTTTGTCGAATTGATTTTTCGACTTCAAGAGAAGGTGAATTGGATTCATTACGGATATAGCTCGAGCAGACCTAGGTGGCAGGCCGACGATCTTTGTTTGATTCATGTTTTGTTGGATTTGGTTTCTCTGACCCCAGGACAGGTCGATAGTATTCATGATGGCTCAAGCAGGTTGATAATTCCTTATTTCATTCTGATTTTTTCGAATTGATTTTTCGACTTTAAAGGAAGGGAGATGGGATTCATTCCGTCATGAGCAGGTGGATTGCGTTTTATCTTGGTTTTGTCGAATTGATTTTTCGACTTTAAAGGAAGGGAGATGAGATTCATTCCGTCATGAGCAGGTGGATTGCGCTTTATCTTGGTTTTGTCGAATTGATTTTTCGACTTTAAAGGAAGGAAGATGGGATTCATTCCGTCATGAGCAGGTGGATTGCATTTTATCTTGGTTTTGTCGAATTGATTTTTCGACTTTAAAGGCAGGGAGATGGGATTCACTCCGTCACGAACAGGAGTATGCAACAGGCTTGAATTTTAACTTTTGAACTGAGGGGCGATAGGACGAGGTGGTATAAGAGAGCTCGAACATGGTGACCGAAACACAACAGACGTAAATTCAA